AAAAGCAAAGACATGAGCAAGAAAAGAGCAAGTGCTGTAGAGAAACACAGCAGGGGGCTGTGAGGGAGGGCTGGGGGGGTCACTGGGTAGGAGGGCCTGAAAGGCCTCACTGGGGTGACATTTGCTGGGACAAGAATGACAAGAGGGAGCCAGCCCTGCACTTATCTGGAAGCAGTGTGTCGGGCAGATGGCACCACTAGTCCTGAGTCTCACAGGCAGAAGTAAGTTTGGCCAGAGGAGGTTAGAAAGGTGGCCAGTGCAGCTGGAGGGAGCCTGGGAGGAGAGAACAGGAGCTGGGGTGGAAGGTAGGGCCAGGGCCTGGTGGGCTGTGTCAGTTACCTTTCCCTCTCTGACGTCATTGCCCCTAATGTTGCATTTCAAAACTACAAATGTTGACTATCTCACAATTTGTGTAGATCAGCAATCAGGCACGTTTTAGCTGGGTGCCTCTGCCTCAGTGATTTTAACAAGTTGGGGCCGTGGCGTTAACTGAGGCTCGACTGGGGGAGGACTTGCCCCCAACTTCACCCTCAGCCTTCAGGATTCAGTTTGGCCTGAGAGCCTGAGTTCCTTTCTCTTGGCCTCGGCACTCCCGTGCTGCTCTCCTCGATGGGCCTCCACAATGGGCAGCCCCAATACACTGGTATTTGATTCCTCAGTTCCAGAGATTCAGCAGAGTGAGAGAGAGAGAGAGATGGAACATGGGAGAGGGAGTAAGAGGAAGTGAGAGACTTTTTTAGTTAAAATTTAGACAAGACATCCCATCACTTTGGCTGTTATTATGTTCAGAAGCCAGTTACTAACCACTTAGTGGTTCCACGGGGATGGCTATACTATGGGTGAGGTTTACTGGGTACCACTGTGGAGGCTGCCCACCTCATAGGCCAAGATGAGGCACTTGAGTCTCATTCTCCATAAAACAGGAAACAATTGAATGGTTTTATGCCACAGAATGGCAATATCTGAATTTCCGTTACTTGCAACCCCCTCATGATGCTGACCTGAAAATGAGGTTAAGTTGGAAGTGACTGTCCCAATATCACATTCCTGGAACCCAGGCCTGTTTTGAGTGGTGGTCTGTACTACATCCCACCTCTCCTTGTTATTCTTCCATCTCTAAGTTTGTGCCTTAGGTACATGTGACACCAGCCCACAGGGGTAATAGATATTATCTCATATACACTTGGTGACGTCCCTAGGAAGTAGATTCTAGCCTGATCCCCATGGTGCAGGTTTGGAGACTAGGGAGGACCTGAGAGGCACAGGGACTATCCCAGGATGAAGAACTGGTAAGAAAAAGGAGGTCTCCATTCATCTCTGTCTCCTCAAAGCTAGGACCCTAGTTAGGTTTCCTGGGAGCTGTG